ACTCCCAGCCCTGCCGGACATGGGGGGCTGCATCTCATGGGTTCCGCCTGTTGCTGTAGTTGCCTCTCCTTCAGGCCCCTAGCCCGATGCTGCGACTGCGGGTTGCAGGGTCCACTCTGGCTCACAGCCACCCTGCGAGACTGAGCAGCCCTGATCCCGAGGCCTCCAAGGTGGCCAACTTTACAGGAGCAGATGGCCTCTGCTTTCCCCAGTGTTGCCGCTGGGTGGGTTTGAACTGCCCTCCTCCCGGTTATCTGCTGAGTGCTTAATCACTGTGCCACCAGGACCCCAGCTTGCCAGATGAGCTGACCGGAAAGTCATGAGTGCTGGTAGGAGCTTAGAATTTCAATCAGCAGTCGAGGCAGCTGTTGGGTCCAAGATTCATACCCATTCCCAGGCAGGAGTTGCTAAAGGGGACCCTGGATAGGCACTGAGACGTGCCTGTTACCACAAGCGCCCCGTACACACATATACACACATGTACACACATGTAGGCAGGCGGGCATTGCACTTTGGTTTTGTGGTGTTGGAGTGGGATTCCTGACTGTGTGACCCAAGGATTGTAAGTAATAAAATCTAAGACCGGAGGAGGGAACGGTAGTAGGGCTTAAATCCTGAGCACCCAGTTTGCAGAAGACTCTGAATGACAGTGAAAGCCTCCTAATCCATTTTCAGGGTCCCCCTGTGGATCTAGCCACCAGTGAATCCCTTCTAACCAGTGGCCAAGAATGTGAACTGAGGACTCCTTTTCTTGTGTGGGGCCATGGGCTGGCCTGCCTTCCCTTCAGGTGTTGAGAGCCTACAGTGGGTGAGCACCAACCAGTCCTAAGAGCCAGCAGCAGGCATCTCATTGGCGGATCGGCCATGTGTCATTCGGTGTGGGTGTGAGTGTGGCACACGGCAAGGTTTGCCTCCATGGAGGAGTCCTGGCCAGTGTGCCTCCGGTGCGGCCACCACCTGTCTGTCGTGAAAGCCACCTGCATGCTCTAGGACGCTGAGCAGCTTCAGGAGCCTCCAGACGGAGGCAGAGTGGAAAGAAAGGCCTGGTGACCTTCTGAAACAACCAGGCCATCAAAATCCTTGAGACCCGGATGGTGCCGGGTTCACCATGATCGAGTCTGCCGGAAGCAGCTAACAGAAGAGGTTTCATCAGAATGGGAATGTGGAACCAAACTAAATTCTCGTGGGGTCCAGACTCGAGGGAGCTCTGGTGGCTGGATGAAGCCTGGAAACGACTGGCCCAGGATCTCCTTTCAACCCTTGGCCAGCCAAGGACGACCCCCCAGAGGGAGCAGTGCTCTCCCCGAGGGCTAACTTGCGGCATGGAAATGACCACCACAAACCCAGAGTCAGAACGGAGGCGGAGGGCCTCAGCAGAGGAGGGTGCCAGGGGGCAGCATCTGCAGGACTGGTGAGCTAGTGAGGTGCACTCTGCTGTGTGTATATTTCCAACAACAACAACAGTAGGAGATACATTTTGAGGAAGACTATGTTTCAGGATCCTATCCCTAAAAACCAAACCACAGCCCCCTATGGACCTCTTGGATTGATGATGGAGTAGGCGTGGGCTCTGTCCCATGGCGCACGGTGGAGTGGGATTGCCGGGTGTCGCGGGGCAGGTGGGTGGCAGCTCTTTGTGTGGACGGGGACAGAGCGGCCGGCCACAGCCCTGCATGCAGTGAGCGTGGATGAGCCCAAGCCAGAGAAAGCCTGGTGACAGGCACATCCCCTCCCCCAGGACACCGGAGCCGCGTCAGTGGTGGGAACCCACCAGCCCCCCACTCGGAGGTAGAAAGCGCCAGCTGCGTGCTTCAGTGACTATCCCGGACCCAGAAGCCCACAGGGCAGTTCTGCTGGGTCCTTCAGGGTCACCGTGGGCCAAGATCTCCCCGGTGGTGGGGTCTGGTTTTGTGCTTTGCCCTGCAGGTCTGGGGGGCATTCTGGGTACCTTCTGTTCTGGGTCTCCCTCGAAAGCACAAGGGAGCCTCGAGCTCCCAGAGTCACAAATGCCCCCCACCCTGACACTGGCTACTGAGATAGCCTCTGCTGGGGGGTGGGCCCCGTCTGTTGTCTGGGCATTTATAGTTGCCGCCACTGTGCTGCACACCACACTTGCCGGGCAGCTGCTCGTAATCCCACTTAGAGATGGGCACCGGGGGCAGGAGAGTGTGCCGCTTATCCAAGACCACCCTATGAGGGGCCCTGGATTCCAATCTGGTTCCTCGTGGCTCTGAAACCCAGGGTCCACACACAGGCGACATCATGTGGCTTCTCCGATGGCCAGGTGTTTGTCCCAAACCTGGCATCTGTCCCAAACCATTCTGCACCCACTGCCATTGCGTAGCCCCTGTGGGACAGAGCAGAACTACTCCTTAAGGATTTCTAAGGCTGTCAGTCTTCACAGAGGACCAGACGGCCTCATCTGTCTCCCAAGGAGCGGTGGGTGGGTTTGAACTGCTGACCTGGCAGCATTACAGTGCTCACCACACAGGGCTGCAGGACTCCTTATGAATGAGCAGGAAATGGCAAATGACAAGAAGAGAAGGCAGTCGTAAGGAACCAGTGAACAGACCCTCGGCCTTCTGGACCCCAGACCAAGCCCTGTCCCGGGCCCCCTACAGCCCCAGCACTCAGAACCCCTCAGCTTCCTTCCATGCCTAGCCCGAGACCCTCTTTGTCTCTGGTTCTTTTTCTCTGCAAAGCAGATTTCTGGCAGGACATGCTCTTCAGCTGAAAGAATAACCCCTGTAAACTTCTTGAAGCAGTTGCCAAGGAAACCTAGCTCAAGCCTGCAGGCAGATGATCAGGACCTAACCGATCTTCATGGTCCTGCCCCTTCAGCAGACTACAGAGCAGAGGCCAGGGCACAGACCCCGGAGTGCTGGCCACCGGGCGCAGCCAGAAGGACACCGGCCTCCAGAGTAGGCTGGGCTGGGTGGGGCAGAGCCCCATTCTCCAACCCCCCCACCACACAGAGGACGCTGGGAGGCAGGAGAGTGAAGTTCCTTCCGGGGGAAGGAGGGGCGTCAGTAAGAAACAGCGTCTGGGGGGACGGTTGATGCACCTGTACCAGCAGAGGGGTCCCGCGGGAACAGGCAGATGGAGAACCCTTTGAGGTCAGAAGTCAGAATGTTGTCTGCGAGCCATGCAGGACCAGGACGCCCAGCTGGACTGGATGGGCACCTGACCACTGGGCTGTGGTCACCTTTGGCCCAGCCCCTCAGCTGGGGTTCCACGTGTCCCTTTGAAACCTCATAAAGCGACGGGCCACCAGTGCTGTGCTGGCCTGCATGTGACTGTGATGCCGGAAGCCTGGCCACTGCCCTCTCAAAGTCCGGCAGGCCACCCTTGGTGGACAGACTCAATGGAGCTGCCAGAATAAGACTAGGAAGAAAGGCCTGGCGATACCCTCCCCTCTGAGGGGGCCAGAAAACGTTCACCGGAAATTCTAGCGTCTCGAGATGCCGTTTCTCCGCAAGCCTATGGAAGCTCGCCTTCTAAATTGGTTCAGCCCTGCCTTTGCGCCCTCTGCCCTGGTCTGCCCTGGGAGGTCAGCATCTGCTCTCTGCTGTGCCCCGGGCCACGTGCCATGGCGCCAAGGCCAGACC